GAATATTGGTTCGATTATAGAACGATTGTAAACGTTCCAGAAACGTTGAAAATAGTTCGTTTGACTGGACGTGAACAGGAGACGTTCAGAAATAGAATCGGGACCAGGTCTCTTAATTAGTCTGGAAACGGGGGATCTAATTCTTGCATTCTGTGAAAACGGGTAAGATTGACTATAATGTAATTATCTTAATCTTCACTATCGTTACTTTTTGCCCACAAATAAAAACCCAGCGAAGCGGGTCCTTGCAGCTAGTACATAATATAAAATTTAATTTAATTTTTACATTTATAAGCAAATTATCTCAATATATAAAATTACTTGTCCTGACTGACTGACTGACTGGAAGGATAATTAAGGCTTAACCTGAAAAACGGCTTCTACTGTACTATTTTAGATGCGATTTTTTTTTTGTTTTCAACTACGTTTAGTTTTCATTGAGTACTTAGGTGTATTAAATTGATAACATTTCAGATTATATTTTTATATATTTCGGTTTTTTAACCAAATGTTCGAACCGTTTAAAATTCGGATTTGTTATTGCATATTGGTTCGATTATAGAACGATTGTAAACGTTCCAGAAAATTGATCAAATTGAAACAGTTCGTTTGATTCTCGGCAATTCTCATTATTTTCAGCAGTAGGTGTTATATAACAATTACTATGGTTGTTGAAATACTAAATATAAATAGGGTTTGCTTGCAAAATCCGCGCGTGCGAAGTCGCGGGTAACGGCTAGTGTTAAAATAAATATAAAGACGACATTTTGAATTCAACTGTTTGGTTAAAGTTTCTCCTCTCCTCTTCATCTTTTCCTCCTCCTTTATCTCTTCATCTTTATCTTTTCCTTCTCCTCTTTTTCTTTGTCCTTCGTCATCTTCTCCTTCATCGCCTTCTCTTCCTACTTTCCCTCTTTTTCAACTTCTCATACACTTCCTTCTTTACCTTCTCTTTCTTCTCGTATGAACAAATATATAACTGAATTATAAATAAGCTTTCGTGAATATAAAAACAAAGTTACTATTTACTCTATTATATTTTAATAAATCTAAAATTTTAAATAAGTTTTAAAATTTTACTTTAAGTTTTATAAATATATTAACATTTAATATATAATTAAAACCCAATTATCTTTGGTAAATAATTAAAAATTTAATTAATTACTTTAATCGTTGTGACGTTTTTTTTTTAATTTCCACCAATACAGTTGTCAGTTTCTTATGTCAGTTTTACTTATAAAATCCGTCATTGGTGGCGCCACGTGTTACCGATTCGACCAAACTGATGATCAAATGTCTATTTTTTCCTTTTCTCTCTTCCTTTAGAAAGGAAAAAAATTCGTTTTACAATTATTAACC